AGTTTCAAGAAGGCCAAGGGCCAGGTCCTGCACTTGAGGGACAACAGCCCCATGCAGTGCTACAGGCTTGGGGAAGAGTGGCTGATAAGCTGTCTGGTGAAAAACGACCTGTGGGTGTTTGTTGAGAGCCAGCTGAATAGGAGCCAGCAGTGTGCCCAGGTGACCAAGAAGACCAACAGCAACCTGGCTCGTGTGGCCAGCAGGACTAGGGAAGGGATTGTCCCACTGTATCTGGCACTGGTGAGGCCCCACCTCGAATACTGTGCTCAGTTTTTGGCCCCTCACTACAGGAAAGACATTGAAGTGCTGGAGCGTGTCCAGAGGAGAGCCACCAAGCTGGTGAGGGGTCTGGAGAACAAGTCCTACGAGGAGAGGCTGAGGGAACTGGGCATGTTTAGTTTGGAGAAGAGGAGGCTGAGGGGAGACCTCATTGCCCTCTACAACTACCTGAAAGAGACACGTTCTCTGCTCTCTCCCAGCACAACAATAAGACCAGCAATGGAACAAGTGGATCCAAGCTGGGCTAGAACGAGCCAATATACTGCTGCTTGTGAACGAAGTGATTTCACTTCAGATGTCGAAATGGAGGAGAGGAAAGGGTTCTGCTGCAGGAATGAGAATGTGGAGGTGCTGCTGAGTCCCCAGGATGAAGGAGCGTCCCCCCCTCCAAAGATGCCTGGGGCTACAGGCAGAAGGACATGGGTCCTGGTGGTGGCTGTGCTGGTGGCTCTGGTCCTGGCTCTGGCCGTGGCTGTTGCTGTGCTCTCAGGTAAGGGAGGAGCGGCTGCCTCCTTCCCTGCCCCACGGAGCTGTGTCCCCTGGTCCCTGCGCAGCCCAATCCTCTGCCCTTCTCCCCTTCCCTCTCCAGCAAGAACACGTGGAGGGGATCCAGCTGTGCCTGTGGCTCCGGTGCTGGCGTGTCCTGATGGCTGGGTCGGGTACCACAATGTCTGCTACTACCTCTCGAGGGACCAGGGGAGCTGGGAGTGGAGCCAGGAGCAGTGCTCCTCGCGTGGGGCCTCGCTGGCCGTGCTGAGGAGGGAGTGGGAAATGGTGAGTGAGGGGCTGTTGTGGGTGCGTGGGGGTTTGGTGGGGTTCCTGGGTTGGGCACAGAGTGTGGGGTGGGAGCAGAGCTGGGTCAGAGCAGGACCAGGAGCACTGTGTGGGCTGGTGATCTCCTGCAGCAGCTCTGGAGCTTGTTGGAGCAGGCGTGGGGTGGGAGCTGCTGCCATCCCAGGGCTGGTGGTAGCCGTGTGGGGCCAGATCAGAAATCTAGTTCCTGTCCATGGCTGACTCCAGACTGGGACTTCTCCAGTGCTGCTGGTGATGTCATCCTGGGAGTCTGTATAGAGTGTAGCTGTTTCATCATTTTCATTATAGTTCCTTCTAAACTCCTACATCTCTCCCCCTCCTCTCCTTGGAAGGAGAAGTGGGGGAGAGCATCTCTTGTCTTGTCATTGAGCAATTCAGCCTAAATGACAACACAGAAACCGTCTTTTAAACTGCGGCCTTGGAGCTGGAGCAGCTGCTCCCCCATGAGCTGGGCACAGAAAGCTCAGTGCAGGTCCCTGGTCCTGTGCAGGGCTGAGGTGCCACAGAGCCAGGGGGTGAAGTGGCCCTTGTGGGGCTCCCCTGAGAGTTGAAATGTAAATACTGTTGCTGGTTTTTGTACTGTTCCTAATAAACCAATATGAAATCCCATCCGTGTTTCTCTCCTGCTGGAGGCAGCCCTGTCCCCTCCCCCCCTC